TCGAAGGTATTTCGCGTGGAATGAGATTCCTTCGTCGAAAGTATGACATATTCGAGTATAGTTGACGAGATGGACCTACTTCGAGAAGGATTCGGAGTGGGTCCAGCGCTGTGAGCCACGAGGCGACGTATCGGTTAATAGCCGATATTATCTAATAATACATTAGTGTAGCAACACTTTCTCAACGCGATTCTACTCGATGAAGGTTTCTCATTCTCCGTACGCGTGGTACCAGTGTTAGATCACATGTTACCAAGAATTAAGTACCTGTCAGATCGAAGAGGATCCCGCGCGAGCCGATCGCATTCCAACGAAGTCACTCAGACCCATCGATGCTTGCAGGGCTGATAACAGGGCTGATAACTGGACCACGCCACGGTCCACGTGGATCCCTGACGTTCGTGATTAACGAATGCCAGCGGTTGGTGTTTTGGGAACCGCCACGGTGACCGGAACGGTACGTCGCTGCGTCTGCACGCGATTGCGATACGTCGTCGTCGCGTCGCGACGGCGTTGTGTACGCCGATCGCACGTCACCAGCAGTGACACACACGCACGCCTATCGCGTTTTTTCGATCGGCAGCGCCTTCACACGGCCGTCACTGGCACCAGTGATACCAGTATCGTTGGGACTCGGACCTGACGCGCCTGACTCGGTGAACGTCGTGGATACTCGCGAGGCCGGTGCCCCTGCCGTACTGTCCCACTCTGCGTTTATTATGTTTGCCGAATACACCGCTGATTTGCTAGATCGTTACTCGGTTAACTTCAGGATTAGATCGAGGGTTGATGCGGTAGTTGTTCGGATAATAGAGGCCCACTAATAGAGACCTCCACGACTCGACCATGGTTTAGATGCATCTATGTAAATAATATTTAGATGCACATATATAAAACAGAAAGTAAATTATAGCCGAGGCTTGTGGTATCAAAACTAAATTCTAAAAATAGCGTATTACAAAAGGATTATTTCAATATTTAAACGGGTTGCGTCGAGATCGTGGTCTCGATGTATCGCGTTACAGTAGAGTTGCCCGTGCCTGAACATAGACGACCCATTCTACTGCGGTGTCTGGCGTGCCAGTAGAAGAAGCGCGGATGCCCAATAACATAAATGGAACTTGGCTTCTATAAAGTAGTCTTCGATAAAGTAATTTTTAACAATCACTGCAATCCATTTTAGTGGTTCTTAGAATTTCTATAATAAATAAAATACGAATTGGATATAATTATTTCAAACGTATTCGAAATATGGATGGATAAGTATTGGAAATTTTGGAAATCTACAACTATAATCCAACTACAATAACAACGATGATAATAACGATGAATAATTTCATTAATAGTAAAACTGTTGATTTTTTTTATAACAATTTAATAATACCATGAAGTAATAGTAATAATGAACAGTTAAATAAATAAAATTAACGGATACATTCCTAACGAATAAATTCAAACTCCGAATAAACCTGTATCATTCTGAATAATAAACCAACGCACAAATGTGCACACTCATAGCACCGCTTACTTACTTCCACGCATTCTGTAAGTCTCTATATCTAAATATTATACTTAAACTGACGTTCCATAGATTCTTCCGTTCCTAGAATATCATTCAACACCTCGTTACATCATCGAAGCGTATAAATGACAATATTTTATTTGAATGCCTAGAGTTATAGCTCCTGGAACGTGTTCCTGTCAATCGATTGCTCGTAAAAGTAAAATGTAGAATCGTAAAATTCAATCACATCGATCACAAGTTCCTATAAGCGATGTTCCTAAAATACAGCAATTACAATACATTTTCCGAAGAAATGTAATACGCGCTTTTCATTCTAGTGGTACGCGAATTTCTCAATACTTTCATTCGTACTCGGCAATTCACTCGTGTAAATCGAAATTTTCTTGGCATTTGTACGCAAGTGTACACATGCTTGATGACTCGAAAACAGTTAACGCAACGCTATGTAGTTTTTGTCGCGTGCTAATAGCGCAGTTGTTTGCACTAAGCCTTTTTAATTTGTAAAACAGGTAGTTATTTACAGTACTAACGACCGCACTGATCTCAGCAACCTTGAAGCGATCTTTGCGAAAGTCAATCGTCAGTAGTTTCCAAAATTTTTACTTTTACGCTGTCTGCGATAGTGCAGAAATATCAACGTCACGAATATTAATTAGGTATACTAGACAAGTATGTATACATTTGACAAATATATAAATGTAATTCGATTTGTGTATTTATGATGTTTTGTAATAGCTGGTGTGAACTGGGAAAGTGAAAAAGAGGCTGATCGTTCGAGGCAGATCGAGAACTTGCGAGAAAGGGACCGGTTGATTGCCCTCTCGTGCCCTTTGCATTCCAAGAGTTTTCTCGAACACGAGAGAGAAGCAACGTCATACTAATTGTGTGGTGCTGCCTCTGAAAATGAAGGACCATCTTCAAGAATTTATGAATAAAATAAATAAAATCCAGCTTAGCATAACATTCAGAATTCCACTGATTTGAACTTTTATGTTACTAAAGAAAACTCAGGTCTGTGGTCTTCGAAGCTTTGGAATATACAAGGATGTAGTATCAAATCCTTTTCTAAGATCTAAAATATAGACATCCAACAAGTTATCACTGACGTCTGTTTGATGTTTCTGACGATAGTCTATCGTCAAGGAAAATAGTTGATGGGTCAGTTGCTATGGCATTTTGGTTCACTGCTTGTTCCGATGGTGATAGGCTGTCAACTTCTGATGCACGGTTTACAAGTTAGGTAAAAGCATGAATAAATCAGTAGTAGAAAAGACATTTAACTTTAACGTTTAACAATCAGTATTATTGAATTTAACACTACAACTTCCAGTTGTAACCTTTTCACTTTCATTACAATTGTAACTGTTAACAAATAAATGAATTATTAAATTATCAATTAATTAATTCACGAATTAATTAAATTTTAAGCTGAATAGCAAGTGACTGAATCCATAGAGATGTTAAAAACATTGTACATAAATCCTATAGTAATTTCTTTGATGAACTTTGTATGAATTATAGAGGATTAACGCAAAGAAGATTTCTCAATGAGTATTCAGATTTGTATATAGGTCATTCGCAAGGAAATCTTCGAGTTACGTCTACCATGAAGATTGAAGCATTGGAAACTTCACGTTATGGAGCATTCAGACGTGAAGGATTGCGAATAGGAATCTTCTTGTACTTTCAGCTCGGAGATTCCTCTTCAAAAACTTGTGTATGTACAAGCCTGAATACTTCTCGTCGTCGAGATTTCAATGCTTTATTCCTGTATTGCATAACGGGCCAGGTCGTGGACATAAGTAAAAGAATTCCTGCTAAGTTCACCGAGAAATTTTTACACAACTAAATACGCAACACTTGTGTATAACACATTTATACACGAATAACCCAGAAATAATTTGTTTGAAGGTAACTTTCTTAAAATTACTTGAGGATTTCCATTCACATTAAAATACGAAGAATTTCGAATAAGTGCATTTACGGTAAATAATCGATACATAAACATAGCAAAGCTAGTGTGAGAGAAATTTAAGGTGAAGCTTAAGAGGTATATTACTCTTTCTCTTTAATGCACACCGTGCAGGCAACCCTCCCAATCGAGAATCTTCCATTCCTGGAGATAAATATTGACTGGGGTGTATTAGGTAGCCGTTAATGCAATTATGTGAACGCGGCGTGTCGTAGCCAGTACGCCGTTAGGATCACTCGGCCAAGGACTCGTATCTCTGGAGTTCGATTCCCACACAGGAATGAGTTACGGTCGCTCAGAAATTGGATGTCATTATCCTCGGACAAGTAACAGGTACAATTCAACCTAACATGACCTTTCTTAGGTGGCTATGCAAGCTCATTGACGCTAGCTTCTGGCAACCAGCAAAGTGGTTTAGTTTTGGGTGGATTTTGAGTAACTGGATATCTTTACAGTTATACTAGAGTAGAGTTTATTGTTATAGTATACAGTTACAGAGTTTACTTATTAATTAGAAACATTTAAGAAGATTTATGATGTTCTCGGGAGAATGGGTTCGTTTCACAGCTTCGAGTAAATTTATATATCGATATTGGTCATCAAAATGAAGAGTTGAACTATTGACTCAAGATGATATGCGGTATTGCCTTTTCCATCAAAAGTATTGCGAATTATTGCACAACCAAAATTGGTTTTCAATGTACCAGCTGATAAGACTGCAAATACTACCTTATACTAAACGGATGTGGGAACTTCTAGAAGGTAAGTGATCCAGGCCTCTCTCGACCTCTGGCAGACCCTAGACACTCCGTGAGCGAAACTCCTTGGCAAATGGAAAGTAAATGACAAGGACAGAATGGAAGCTTCCCCTTTGCATTCTCTTTGATATCTGTTACTATTTACAAGTACAATCGTCCTCTAATACAAGAAGATAATCGGTACTCAATGTTCCACACTTGACATCCTTTTCGAAATTCTTTCATTGTAGCTGTCGAAGATGCATAAATACTACTCTCGAGGAGTGTACTCTCTCCTATCGAATCCTTCTTTTTAGAAACCAAGGGAAATGGAAAATCTAGTCCAGCCTAAAATTCATAACATAAATAACGCCACCATGTTTCTCCAAAATTGTCGCCAACACAATATGGGCCATTCAGAATAATAAAAATCAATCCTCGGTTAAGTCTGGTCATTCAAGCTCCAAAAAACCTGCAGATGCAAGGTTTCCAACGATGTCGGACCACTAAAAAATTCATAATGCAAAGTATTCGAGTGTTCGAATTCCTCCCTCTAAGAATGGAGCCATCTCTTCACGCAAAGGATGATCGGCTGTTATCTCGTCGATCGGTGCATTGTCCTGGCTCGCCAAAAGAAGGCACCGCTACCCACATGGAAATTACGCAAGACGATGGATTACGTAAGCGAGTGTGCTCGTCTGGGACGAGAAAATCTTCGGCGTCCCTCGTGTCGCGGTGAAATCGCGTTAAAAAGCCGTCAGAGACAGGAGACGAGCGAACGAACGCGCATCCTTGCCACCGTTTCTGTCGTCCCGTTTTTCGTTGGAACCGAGGGTTGTGGATCAGCCAAGGGAACGCAAGTGCTCCAGAGGGAGACGCGACTGTGCCGAAATAAACTTTCTCGGGTTATGTAAAGGCTGGCAGCTGGCTTGTGGAATCGCCGGTATAAAGGTCGGCTCTGCCCCCAACAGTCCAAGAGTTGCTCACGAACTTCACGCCGGCAACCATCGAACACTGACGCTCTATATGTGACGTCGTCTTTTCACCTGACTGGCAGACCCATCTTCCACCGTTAGCGCTTATATCTCACTTTCTCGGGAGAGCGTTGCCTTTGCACAGCCGCGCGTGTGTCTCATCGTTTCGGCAACATGCGTACCCTGGTAAGTGTCTTCTTTCGCCATGCCTCTCCGATCTTATCCAACGAGACGGTGCGCTTTCTTCGTTTTTCTTTTATTTCGTTTAAAGTGGAATCGATCGGGGAGAAATTGCTTTGATTTATAGCGGGCCAGTCGAGTTTCAGGGTTTATCGCGAGGTTTACGCCGGTTGGTGACAGTTCGATGCTTGTTATGCGAGCTTTTTGCAAAGTTTATATAAATACTGTCACAAAAAAATAAATAAGTGTCAGTCGCGAATTAACAGTAAAATATTGCACATAGAAATTCAATTTTTATGATTCCTTTATTAACTTTCACTGTTGTTCGTAGAATAAAGGACGTCGCCATGTTGGTGAATGTCTTGAAGTTGACAATCGCAATGGGGATCGCTTGTCGAGCCCATTCGAGTGGTAAGGCAACTTTACGGTGTCCCGATTTGCATCTGTCAATCGTTGTTATCCTGGTTAGCATTTTTTGGTGGTTGGGATCCAGGGTAATGTGACTCGATGCGCCGACTTCGATTCGTCATTCGCTTCGGATTCGTATTCAAATTACCAGCGTACTGGGTGTAACATATTGTCAACTTGTCAGACAGATCTACTTTTGCCTCGTGACGCGCTATGCATTTGTAAATGTGCAGAACAGATGGAGCAACTTTTTTGCGTGAAACGCGACGAGTAGAGGCAGTAAAATATTTTTTTTTTTTTTTCATTGGTTCGAATACATGTTTCAGACTTTATTCATTATTCCTATAATTCAAAGTAAAATATCTTTTAACTAGAGGAAATGTTTAAAAGTATGAATATTGATATTGTATTAATACTTAAATGTAATTTTATTTCAGTACTATATAAAGTGATACAAGATTGTATAAATTTTGACTACAGGGTTTTCATTCGTATTTTTCGACTTTTTTTTTAGCGCGAAAGAAATATTCGTAGTATGTTTAACTAGGGATGGTTGAGTTAGGTCAGTGCCATTGATTGTATCGACAGAATTACACATGGTCAATGAACACAAATATTCATAATTACAATTAATAAATAAGTATGTATGCAGGACTCGTATAAACTCTGTGCATAAATCAACTTTTACAAGTAAATTCTCGTTACGTTTCATTGAACTTTAGGTTGTAACGATATTGAAGGACAAAGCAAAGTGTAAAACAATTATCGACGCGATAAGCTATGAAAACATAATGCCAACCGCGACTGTCTGTTTTATGTGTAAGGATACTAATGTTTGTTTTCGCTGTGCAGTCATAGTGATGTCATTCGCGTATTAAAAGTCCATCAAAAGCGTGATTATAATTGCAAATTTCTCTACAAACTAGGCCATCCTGATTATACAATTTCACAAGTTCAAATTATTGTCCAACACCAATCAGCAAACGTTTCGTTGAACTTGTTGCTGACGATCCCCATCGAGTCATACTATCTTTACTCTTAATTTGATTCTTCGCATTTTTTGGAATAGAAAAAGGAATATCTTACATAAATTGTAATAATCAAGTAACTTTCTGTGAGTTATTAATAACCCTATAAAGTGGTTGATGAGACTATAAACAGCTGATATTAGAAAAAGAAGAAAGTGATGGGTGGTTCACTTCGTTCGTGTCTGTGTTAATTTACGTATGACAGCCATTAGAGTCATGCATCGATTCTCTGTTCAACCGCTTACGATCGCGATAATTATTGTGACCTACCTGCGAGCACATCTGTCTTGCCCTGACCTTTCACGGAGAAAGGTATCTCAACGGATTTACAGGACAAACATGACGAAGATTAAAGCATTGGTGTACCGGCTTTTATTTCTACACGCTCTAGCTACGCCTTAATCGGGAATAGCGAGATATTCCAATGGCTTCGACCTTTCCAGATTCTTCCAACAATGAATATTGTATTTAACATGCAGAGTCGAGTTACGCAAATAAATTTCATTTTCAATTCAATTCGATGTAGATCTCTTCTGGAACCAGTTTTTATAATCATTTTTGTTTCGGAATAAACATCGTCGAATATATATTTTTCTAACTTATAATTTCTTGAATCAAGTTGGTAATGTTTAAGCAATAATTGTGATTGGGTTAGTGAAAAAATTAGGTGTACTTGTCTTACAAAATGCAAGTGAAAAATAGGCAGAAACTATGAAGATTGAACGACATTGAAAGAAACAGGAATGGTCTAATTATGTGTGAATGCTTACAGCGTCACAAAATGTTTACCTATGTAATTTATTAGCAAAACATTCCATAACATGATACATTCGGATTAGATCTATTACTATTTAACACGCTGTATTACTTTAGATATTAGTCACTATGTTACATGTGTAGCTGCACGAACGAACCTATTGACTTTCAAATTAAAACTGTTGACTCACAAATTAGAAAGCTGAACATGTCTGGAGCTATCAGTTTCCTGACATGTGTCGATTAACACCTATTTTGTTTCTTTCAATGATCGTGGTCTCTATTAATCATGGTGTACGTACAACTTACATTTGTATTGTTTACAAATACAAATTTTAATAAATAGAGTAGATAGTTACACAGGCCAAGTCGGTCATTTTTATACTCTGCCGAATTGTTCTTAGTGATATTTTTAATAGACAGAGATTTATTCTATTCTTGTTTTTTAAATAACATTACGTTAGGGTTCAACGCTATTTACGGTGTACTTGATCCCATCGCTACTATGAGTCATTGCTTCAGACCCGTAATTTATGCTAGTAGTACTAGTAACCTTCACATGGTACACCTTTGAAACGAATGTTTCGTAACTGTTACTTACGTTGTCAGATTTTCCTCAATTTGTTCCAATCTCCATGACAGTATAATGTTCAGAAAATTTCGATTTTATTTACTCCAGAATAAACAGATTAAAGAAATATAATATAAAAATAAACGCGATACTACTCCCTGTATAAGATTTAGTGTAGTCGTAAACATCACGCAGAATTGCAAATATATTTCTCGACAGTCGTTTAGACACGATAAATGGACAACTTTCATAGGAAACCTGAATGTTCAAAGACGATTTTTCTGTCGCCACGAATGAACCTACGAACTTTCCTCGAGCTCCCATGACGTAATACAGTAAGCTGCATCAATCACCGATACCTTCTTGGTGGCGATAGCTTCTGTAATCAAACCACTAACTACCGACTTAAGCTGAAAGCCTTTCGAAACGTTAACGTTTCTGTGGTGATTAGCATATTCCTAGTTTAACCGTGCATCGAACATGAATATTGCGAAGGAGTGCATAATCGAAACCGATAGACACGAGTCCTTACGTCGTGAATATTCAATAATTGAAATTTGTTTGAAAATTGAAGTGTATACCTTGAACAATTACTGAGATAAGGCTATCTTTGAATGTTCTTCGTCACTGCAATTTGAATGATTGAAATATTTTGCGCTTGGTAATATTTTCAAAAAGAAAGTGATCGATTAAAGTCATTCTCTGAGTCCATCTGTAGGAGCTCTGAATCCGCTAATTTCATCTTCTTCTACCATTTTCGTCGATAATTCTAATTTTACCATTAAATTTTAGGTCTTCCTCGCCCTCGTGGCAGCAGCTCACTGCCAGGAATACTACAGCAAACCTGAGAAGATCCTTTCCGAGAACCGTGACCTGGGCGACAATCGTGGCCACTACTCGTTCAACTACGAAACCGAGGGTGGTATCGTCCAGAAAGAGACTGGAAGTCGTAAATACGCTGGCACACCATCGGAGACTCAGCTGATCCAAGGATCCGTGCAGTACAACGCCCCAGATGGTACACCGATCGCGATCAGCTGGACAGCCGACGAATTCGGCACTCAAGTAGCGGGCACCCACGTTCCAACCCCTCCACCTATACCACCCGCCATTCAGAGAGCCCTGGAGTGGATCGCGAAACAGCCATCCACCCCCGAACCAGAGGAAGACGCCAAAGACTCGTCCAGTCAACAGAACCTCGTCCCCACGAGCAAAAATAGCCAGTTCAAACAGCTGCGGCCAAGCCAACGAAACTGATCATCCGTATTATCACTAAGTAGCATATAAGTTCAATTAGTCGTTTGTAATGTAACGAATAAATTTGTATTTTTGTAGAAAGCCCGAATCGCTTTTTGAATAATCTTTATCGCGGTGGTTTGTTTCTCGATTGCGGATGTTTATGCGAATTCATATATTGAAATTTGGCGAGTTTACTGTTAGAGTAGTAGTCGTGAAAATTTTTGCCGTGTCTAAAGCTTTGTTGTAAGACGATCAGAAACCATTTGATTTAATATTTGTGATAGTATTTAATTTGTTAACATCGTTAAGTATACGAATTGTCATCAGATTCAGTTTATTTTATATCTCGCAATCGAAATAAATTCTTTTAGATCCTTTAGCATCTTCTAAACGGTATAACGTGTATATTATCGTTTACATTTTGTGAGTTATGCATTTGTAGAGATTTTCATTGATTTCTCCATATTTTCATTTATCGTAATTGCGTAGACATGGGCAGTCTACTCATATATTTTTGAAGGATAGGTTTCTTCGTTGGAACGAAGAAGTTGTGATCTCTAGGTTGTGGTATTGTCGTTGTACGATGGATGATGAAACTCATTGTTGAGTAAATCGTAAACTTATTATGAGAATATAACAATTTTTTTTAATTGTCTGTACTGTATACATTTAAGGCTCTCTGGACAAATCTACTTGAACTTGAGGCAAATTTCTGAAACTTGAGTTTCAGAAATAGTCCTTGGGGTATTCCCAAACAAAACCTCTATGGAAACACATTTAACCTTCTGTTATTCTCTAAACCAAGTATTCCAAATTCAGAATGTTCAAGTAAAGGAAAATATGTGAAAAATACATCTTCTAATGTCATTTATATCGAGAGCTATGAAAGCAATAAAAGAAAATTGTATACGTACAGCTCATTTATGAGAAGATTCACACAACAGATAAGTCTCTGTTAATATCACACTGACTAATCTGACAAATACACCTATTTAAAAATAAGTTTCCGGGTAACGAATCCTAAATAAAATCGGGAAAATATTCTTCCTCTCCTTCGTACAGTAATTAAATTAAAAGACCAACAAACAAAGACTCACCTAGCCCTCAAGCTGAAGCCTCTTAAGATTCACAACAAACTCCCTCCACAAAAACATCTCCAGTAATCAACACAAAAGTATCAACATACACTTTATTTACAAAACCTCCTCAACACTCCTTACAATTTTGAATAATGAAATAACAAGTGGATATCAAGGTACTCGTATAAATGTAAGCATAACCCCGAAACGGAAAGTTGAACTTCGAAGCTTTACGGGTCCGTTGTGCTTTAGGACTTCTTCACTGAAAGTTTTGACTCAGGAACCACCTTGAAGAAGCTTGGAGACTTTCTTTCCGTATCGAGGTCGATACGTCTAGGCGGCTCATTTAGAGCTGAGGTCGTTCTCTTCAGGATGAGCGGCGATGTATTCGAGAGCCCTGAGGATCTGGGGCGGAATGGGTGGGATGTGGCTACCCTGGGCTTGGAATCCATTCTCATTGGCGACGTAGTTCACCTGGACCACCTCACCGTTGGGTGCTGTGTAGGTGTAGCCACCTTGAGCCTCCAGGGCCTCGGCAGTGGTGCCAGCTGCCTTCAGGAAGCCGACTTCCTGGGCCTGGATGCCGTTCGCGCTTTCATAATTGAAGCTGTAGCTGCCGTCTGGGTTGGGGCCTTCCGCTGTCTGTCTGAGGATTGGGATTGGGACCTCCACGGAGATTGGAGAGAGCGCGGACGCCACGGCTGCGAGGGCGAAGAGGACGATCACCTGAAACGATTGGAGTTTGGTTAAGCTCTTCAAGAAATATGTAATGCCATGTCATAAGTCATGAATATATTTTTTAATATCCATGTCCCTAAAGTATCCAATTATTTTTTTGACAGTTCTTTGACCAGCAAATACTAAGTAATAATAAATAATGATCTGTTTTTGACCCAGTCACAAGTGACTCCTTAAGTACGAGAAAGTTACACGAATCCAGGACGGTATATGAATTTACTTAAAATCTTGAATACAACCATTGAGTCGACTATTTGCCTATGCTGTTCAAGTGTAAATCGACTTTCGATCGTAAAAATCAAGACGTATACACGTTCACTCAAGTTGTCCAACGGAATATACAGCGAAACGTTACGTATGAATTGTAAATATTACGCTTGGAGATGCTTTTCTAAACAAATTGTTGCTTAACGCGTTCACGTTTGCTTGAGCCACATGTGGCTCGGGATGGATTTGATTCTGGAGATTTCTGAGTGCATAATAAATATTATTCGTCAAATGTTCAATTTACGTTTACGTTAGCTGCTTCGACGCCTGTTTTAATTGCGTACAGCTAACAAATCCACACACCTTGATTTATTATGAATTAATTACGTCGACTTTCGTCGCTAATTGAATACTTATCCGAATAAGAAAGTCGAAACCTTGTATATCCTTTCGGCAGACTTACATCACACTTGGAAAGAAAATATCGAGAAACGATATTATCGTTTCTCAGAAATTCTCGAACGAATCTCTTCGACCTACTCGAACACGATTGGAGTACTCGAAGACGACGCAACGTGTATCAAGAAAATAAGTAAAGTCTAGTTGGTTGGTAGAACTCGCAAAATTAGTAAAAAAAATGGACCAAGTAAACTTGTTATTCATCAAATAACAATTACTTCGCTACGGTAAGTCTGAACACTCTGTTTGCATAGACATCTTTCTTTGCCTTTGTGAGTTCCATTAACTAGACCTTACCTATGACTATAATACGCCGTTTTGCGAAATGTCGCACGTCTCGGAATAGCATAAACTCAGTTTCCTCAATCTCCCTCTCTACCACCCGTGAAAAACAATCGAACACCATAGTCCTCGAACTCACCAATCCGTTCATGACGATGCTTCTCGTGTCTTTTTTGGTTACTGGTTGAAAAGGTATGTGATTCTTCCACAAGAGCTTCTCGTTGCACTGACTCGATGTATCGTGCACAGGGTCCCTTTATATATCCATCACCTGAACATTCGACGAATTTCGGACAAGGCGATGCCTTATTTAATCCCCCTCCGCCCTTTCTCCCCCACTCTGCGGTGGACACCTTCAAATTTTTCGGATGATCCCGGCACGCGATTCGGGAATGCCAAAATAGTAGTCGCGCGCGAATCAGAATGCCGAGGTCGTGGCTTCATCTGGTGGTCTTCTGCATCCTGTCGACTCGAGGAACATTTTAATCGAGTAATAGATCCACGAATAGATCCGCCCTCCAGAGACTCGATCGGTTCATTTATTCGCTTTGGACAACCATTTGCATAGACTTCGTTCAATCGATGTGAAATTTCTAACGAAGTTTTATAGTAGTTTGAATTGTCAATTTTGATTTGACAAATCGGATCTTTCAATAGAGGAACATGATTGTGATTGAATTGTTTCGAGTTTGAATGAGAAACACAGTTTTATCTTGACCAGGATCAAGCACTGAGGAGCAACAAGGAAGGCTTCATAAGGTTAACGTTTCCGAGAAAAATTTTGCTTGTTAAAATCGACGAACAACAAAGGTAAAAGAGACGTAAATTGTATTTTTATTTACAGCTCGGTTGGATCCTGAAGGTGCAGGATCGTTTGAGCACTTGCGTAACGTTATGTAAGGCCAGTGGTGCACGAAGTCTGATCCCCAAAATGAAGTTAAAGACAAGTTGAAAAATTCAAGGTAAATGGTCCAATTACTGACACAATTTTTAATGATAGTAGGAAATACTTGTCGCTTACAATTGAATTTGAAAAGATAGTGCTTTTCGTACAAACGTTGAAATGTAAATTATTCTTGAAAAGACGGACATCGTTTCATTTAATTCGACCCAGTAACGAAAAAGGTTGTCCACCGCTGCAAAAGAGGCTCGCGTATGTTGCATTTGGGTCTCTAAAGATTGCGAGACTCGACGATTCATACCTTACATAGCCCTGGATCGCCTGATTGTAGGCGACATGTAAAACATGAAATTTGCGACACTTGCGTAGCATAAATTGCGCGATATTCGAACACCTTTCATAATTTCCTGTTCGGGCGTGTATAATGAAACGAGAAAAAGAAACAACGAGAAAGGGAAGTCGTTTCTCAGATGCTCAATAAGTAGAGAACTCTTTAAAATGCAACAACTACACGTTTAAATCTACACGGGTTGGCCTTTTCAGGATTTGCAAATTTCGCGCATAATTTCGACGGTTGAATAGAAGCATTGATAAAAATCGGCTATATTGGAAGGATACAAATTCGCGTGGTTGCTATTAATAAGCGTGATTACCTCTAATTTTCAATCAGAATTCAGGTTTTTTCTGCACTCGTTTTTAGAATTGATTTAATACGAAAGGTTAATATGAATTTATAGTCGATGTCATAACAGAATATTTTTCTCCAGAGTGAGAATGAGATTGCGCAATGTACTCTTCAATCGCGAAGCCAAGATATGGAATAAATGCATAAAATTGTTGAATTCGATATTAAAATAAAACGAACTTGACTGTTTCGAAAACAAACGCAAAAATATGAGACGATTTTGGTTAAATTGGTAGAAATTCTTTAATATGGGTTAGAAATAAATAATACTAAATGAAAGAAAATTTGATTTATTTATTATACAGTAAAGAAAGTGATTTTTATTGTAAGTGAATAGCCTTGTCACGTTGTAATTTTCTTGGGTAATTTGTAAAATTTTTTTTTTTTTTTTTTTTTTTTAGAAATCACGAGCAGCAACACAATAGTTTTGCCTTCTAATCAGTCATCGTGGTCACGCTTGCCAGCGTGAGCCTCTTCAGGAAATGACACATAAATATATTGCCTAATGTACTACCTTCAGAGTTTACGATGTCAAAAATAAGAAATCGGAAATATAACCATTGTCCCCAAATTAATGTAATGGATTAGCTGGGCAGTCATCGAATAATTATATTCATCGACGATGGGAACTTTCGGTTTAGTCAAAATCGCTCGAGGCTATCTACCTTGTAACCTTCGATCACGCAACTCGCGCATCTTTCTACAGAATCGTCCACGACGAACTTGAAGAAATAACCTAGAAGAGACGATTTAATAGGAATTTTAAAGCCGTATTTATCTAATTGCACCAACTTACTGTAAGTGTATCGATAAAATTCTGAAAAATATTTTAATATTTATTGAAATGGAGATTCTTGGTGACTCAGTGACACATCTGCGAGAAATTATCCAGCAAAATTGATTGCAGGTGTAAGCATAACGAGGGACCGTAAATTCGAAGGTTATTTCGAAGGCTATTTCGAAGGCTGATACATTATTTCACCATGAGGACGAAGATCAGGGTTGGCTATGGTTGCAATTATTAACGACTGGACAGGAAACCAATGCGGGGTTTCCAAAGTCGAATGTGGCGTTCGATAGGGAACAGAGTGAGACGTCTTAAGGAATATTTATTGCCCCATCACGACAGATCGTCATGATAGAACTTTGTAGTCCCCGTTGCTAAGTATGTCTAAAATCGGTGTGGCCATCGAACGAAAGGTAGTAACGTAGTGTTCACGAAGGACGAAATCTGCATAGCCACCAGGCGACGTTAGGCGTCGTCATTTCATAAAATGTTGATAATATTCATATTGGTAACGTGTTTCGCAATGAAAATGAATATGGTTTCCTGATGTTTGAAATTAATCGATACCTGGGAAGCGACCAAGGCTTCCCTGAATGATTCGTCGGGAATGTTCGATAGTTTTGTTGAACGAGTGTTGGACGCTTATGGTAGATGACAATATGTAGTATTGAGGCTTGTGTTTGTTTTCTGACATGTTTATGTATAAATCAGAAATAGTTAGATGCAAGAGTAACAATATTAAGGGGAACCTGAAAATAGGAGGAAAATAAATATAATAATAAAATAATACAATATAAAATCAAATTTTTCTTTCCTCTTCGTTTCAAAATTCGCTAAATTCCCCCGTATAGATTTTATCATCGTTCCAAATAATCATTACATTCATCGAAAACGAGCAAATCAAACGCGTATCTCGCGGCTACGGTTGGAGGAGGTGTGGGGCGTTTATGAAAAATGCGTTATTAATTACGCTGAATCATCGGGATGCATCGCGATGAAAGCAATTTTCACTTGTTGCACGGTACAACAAATGTATAATTACGGTAAAACGGGGAAACGGATCGCCCACGGGCGTACGAATTATGTTGTCCGAATTACTGTATTACCGAAGCACACGAGCGGCGCGGGAACACAGACGGCCGTTTAATAATATATATCGTTCAGTCATTATTGGCGGGATTTACGATGCACGATACTAAAAACGATTTTTTGAGAAAAGTGGGACAGTGTCGTCTCAATGTATGGACAGTTGTCCAGGGGACCCACAGACTAAGACGTCCTATGCTAATTTATGCTACGTAGAAATTAATTCCGTGCCTTTCTAAAGTAAACTTGCTATTTGTTTATAAAGAAAAATCGTGCAACTTAAAGTTTTCCATTAGTCATGCATTCCAAGAGAGCGTATAACACTGTTAAAACGGTTCTGGGAGCTCTAGGAATCGCAATCTGATTCTTTCCGAGCTCACAGGTAAGTCGATTGAAGAAGACACCCCATAATTTGTGCCGCATGCGTCTCGCTAACCTAAATACTACATGGTATATTTTTACTTTCACGAGGTGGATGAGCCGATTCCCTTAAAGTTGCTTCAACGAATGTTACGTAGCCACGGCGATTAAGGAACCGCGTGCGACGGGTTATGATAATTTATTAACCGTGCCTCGCGAGCCTTCCGAACTTTAATGAACGTGAAGAATTGTGTGTCTCGATTCTCCTTATCAATTCCCGCTCGGTACATTTAATTCTCCGTTACGGGTTGAGCAGAGTGGGCCGATTTCACCGAAATCGAAGTACTTCGGGCGAGGAAAGCGAGCTAAAATTGTAAAATTATTGACTGGCGTGATGATTATTTGTAAATTTTTGTTTAAATTAGCGAGACACACGTTTTAAATACGTATTGCTGCGGGCGTTACATATCGTTAAGATTACGACTGATGTTCGTGAAGTGAGAAAGTAGAAGAAAAGGCAGGTTATTAACACAGGTGTTATTTAATTGGATTTTATTTAAAATTGGATTTTTCTGTACCAAAAGCGCGCGCGGTGAATGGTGTAAATGAAATCTGGTAACATCTCAAAAACAAATGGCCGAAGTCCCAGCTTCGTGGGAACTTGTTTGTTAGTTTTAAGATTCGCCTGTAAATTTTCCGACAGGACTTCGCACTCACCCTTTATACGCGTTAGAAACGCTAATAAATGAAGAATAATATGTGATAACTGGCGGGGGGCGAAACTCGAGAGTGTATCTACAACTTTGGAAGACGGTGCCCGGACGTTATTTCTAACAGACACGTCTAACTCTTGATGAGATTGTCTAGTAGAAAATAGAGCAATGGACATCTACTTTCGACTTACGAAATTCTGACAGGTTAATTAATAACAAAACTTTGAACCAATGAATATGTAACGATAATTAAAAAGAAGATTTTACACAAATTTCGTTCTCCTATAACAAAAATAACGCTTCCACTAAAAAATAATCTCAAAAACACCAACTTGGCAAAGCCCCTTATAATTCGCAACCCGACTTGAGATTCTGTCGTACCGACGGTAAAACGAAACCTGGCTAATAATCATACGCAGAAACAGGTAGATGACTCAAAAGGATCTTTCCCAGCCGAGTTTGAACGTTCACCTGCGTCTCCCACGCCGCGCCGCGTAGCAAAAAGTGTCGATCAAACGAATACTGGCAGACGTCAGTCGGCAAGTTTCCATGCAAAGTTTTATCCTCATTCATTTCCATAAAAAAAAATGTTTCAAAATATTAAGTCACATCTTCCCTTCATAACTCCATTCATCAAGAGACTTCGCCGGATCAAACGACAGAATTTAAATACTCAGCCCGAGGCGATTAGCTATTGCGAAATTTGATTTCTTTAAACGTCGTTTGGTGCGTTTACCAGTTGAAAGTTTGTTGTTTTCGCAAAGGAATTGCGTTCATTGCGTTTTCTAGGGGTTTACGCATGTGATTCTTCGAATCTTCTCCTTGTATACAAACAGATTTATCACCGAATTGCGAAATAGCCTTGCGACATCTATTAGTTGATCTTTTTTCTATTTGAAAACGTATTCAAAGAGCAAAGCTTCTACATTTAAATCAGCGCCCATTTTCAACCTTTGTCATTTGCGAATGCAAATAAAGGACAGATCGAATCATTGAACGTGAAAATACGTAAAGGGCACAAGGTGTGCAGTTTAATGTGCGAAAGGTGCAAGGACGCGGTCCGCTCGTCGGCAAATTTACTGGCGCGCGAATTTTCCACGAATTTTCGCGAATGCTCAAGGGAACGTTAAACGAGTAAACGAAAAAAAAATTAAATTAAAAAAAAAAAAGAAAAGGATAAAAGACACGGTGACATGTTGTTTTCGGCTGGAAGAGAATTGAAAAAGGGGAACAATGTCGACTCCCGCGACAGTTAACAGCGCCCGACGCCCGTTCCGCTCGCATAAAGATTACCAGTGAGGTCGTTGCATGCGCTTCCTGCTAAAAAAATTTGGCAGCCAGCCTCTCTCGGCGAAGATGGATTAACTTATGTATTCGGTTCGCGTGCTTTCCCCCTTCAAGGACCTGCAGATTCGTTACAGGGTTGAATTTATAACTCACGCGAAACACGAAAATTCTCACAAAGGGATCACCGGGTCAATGGAAGCATGGCAAAGGAATCCCATATTTGGCAGACCTTCTGCGAATTCGTGTTGCGCTCCAGTGAGCATCTTCAAATGCGTTTAAACGTATTACACGTGGCCTCGAACGTCTCCTTTTAATTCTTTCAAATTTATGACATTCGTCAGCGAAGATCTGCGCACGTTCTCGCCAACCTTCTCGAGGACTGTTGTACTTTGAAATATGCATGGGTTTTGCGAGAATTTTTTAGTGAAAGATACTTAACGAATTATGTACAAAATTTTTATATAATTGGTACAGACTCAACTGATAGAATAGTCTAAGAAAGAAAATATTTTACTTGTTGAGATACTCGCTATATCGTTTCTCTCCCAATTGCTCCATTATTTTCCTTTACATTTTTTTCTCATTGTTTGCATACCAACACTTTACCTTCGTTTATTTCCAGATAATGAATTATTTTATTGGTAACTTGCAGAATGTTTCTGATGTTAAGATCATATATTCTTTCGACAAAAAGCACTTTATACTCCCCATAAAATAATTAGTCTATCAGAATATGGAACGTCACGTACCCATGCACCTGATCTCAGAAATTACACTCATCTGCCAAAAGATATTACAATACTTTGAAGCTAACACATCAATGTGACTTATGAAGAATACGTAACTAATAATTTATAATTAGCTTTAATATAATATTTACTATTTACAAACTGACGTCTTAGATTAGTAGGCTACCACCAAAGACAATAATACAGAAATCTCTACCACACTCACCGGAATTCTTTTTCCAAAACATTTTTCTAGTTAACCATTTAAACTATACTCACAAAACGAAGTTGCAGGAAGCTGCTTCGACCACAGATCGTCGAGACGATGCAAATGCGTGCTCCTATCCGAGAAACTTCATGTCGCTGGGACACTGTGCTATACGTTGACGAGACGTCGCGCGTCTGTACTGCGGTCAGTGTTCGGTGTGCCCCTCTATTAGACCCTCCTGAAAATTTCGTAATGTTTGCCAGTGTCTAAGCCTCGGCCAGAAATCTATCAATGAGAGGGAGGTCCTCGCACCTCGCAAGGTTTCGGCACCGCTATATAAACCCGCCCGTTAGACTTGCTCTTTACTACCAGAAAACAACTCTGATCAACATGAACACTTTGGTGAGTTCCACGGCGAATCGAGTGAACGAATAATTGATTATAACAATTTTGACCAAACTTATTATATCAAGCTGTAGTGTGGCAGTGGCTAAAAATAACACGATTTTAATGGATAATAAACTTAAATAAAAGTTTGTTGAAGTTATATGTATTGTAACGAAATTGAAGTAACATTGTTAAAGGAATTCAATTTATAACGTTGTAACTCTAGGCTTCTACATTATTTCATGAATATCTGTTCTCTTGGTCAATCAAAATTTCTTTTGTAGGATTATGTGATTATGTTCAATTAATTTTTGTATAAGTTGAAGAGCAATCCAAACGAAACACTCATAACCGTTACTATAAAAAAATTCTCAATAATTTTTAATTGGCAAAATAATTGACTAGCATGATTACCATCAACTTGGTACATGGTTTTACTATAATTCATTAAAATCTGTGAAACAGTTAAATTAGACTCTGTCTAGACTCCCACTAACCACTCAGAGCACTCAATCTTCATAGGCAAAAAATGTACGCAGCAATCTCCAACCATTCAAAAATCTCTTCTTCAGACTTGCGTCCTCTTCGCCCTCGCCGCAAGGTCGGCAATGGCCGCTCCAGTGGACCAGACGACGCCAGTGGCTATTGTGGCATACACTGCTGATGGACCCAACCCAGACGGATCCTATCTCTTCAGCTACGAGGCGGCCAACGGCATCAAAGCAGAAGAACACGGCCAGCTGAAGCAGTTGAACGAAACCAACTCTGTCATCGCTGTCCAAGGATCGTACAGTTACACCTTCGATGACGGGACACCTGTATCCTTGAGCTACGTTGCTGACGAGAACGGCTTCCAACCAAAGGGAGACCACCTTCCTACGCCTCATCCTATCCCAGCTGGAATTCTGAAGGCTCTGGAATACATCGCCGCGCATCCCGAGCAGGACAAAGCCCGTTGACCAATCACTATGCGACGGAAACACTACTGTAGAAATAGGACATCGTCGACGCGACGGTGGGTCCATCGGAGTCGTTCGACTCCCAGTGACCCATCGTGACACAGTTCAGTTTTTTTTTTAGACTTATTTCTTGCACCTGTTCACACCATCGATGGACGACAGTGGACTTTTTGCGATTTTCAAAGAGTAGCTCTGTGGAACGACTTGTGAAGCGGTATCGCTTGACAGTCGTGCCAATGGTGAAGCTTGTACATTTGTAGTATTACCAAGCGATATGACGTTTTTCGTAAACGTTCATCTACTTAATAAATATTTAATAAGTATTGTAAGGTAGAATTGTGTTTTGCTCTTCAGTAATCGTGTCCCGGGTCCTTGTTTTCCTTCTTCCATAGGGACTTGTTATTTTTTGAAAATATAAACGACGGTTATTATCGCTAACTTTGACAAATTAATACAAATTTTAATTTCATTCAAGAACTTCTTAACCTTCAAAAATCATAAACAAACCAATGGCAGGTAGTGTATGGTTCCTCAAACTCGGTCGAAGTAAATATATATTCCTGCGCATAGTAATTTATAGCGCGCCATAACGTCTCGTCCGTTCCGTTTTTCTGAGCGTTCCGAGGACTGGTTTTTCCTGTCGAAAACTGTTGTCCCTCGTAATACTCTCAATTATACGTCGCGCATTTGCCACGATGCTCCATACAGACGAAACAAAAAGATGAAGGAAACTATGAGGGCCCAGGGTGAGATATATGGCTACATTTTATGGACGTGTTCAGCGTACGAGACTTATGACGTCATTAACCACTGACCGACATCAGTTCAGACTTGTCACACATTACACGTACAACGACAGTGATGCATGGCCCGGCGACCGAGAAAAAAAGAGTTTTACGAAAGTTTCATGTGACTGTCACTCTACAATTATAATTGATACAGCGCTATTAGTAGAATCTGACCAATGTCTGTGCGTACATTCTCTAGCAAAGAACAATAGAATAATTTCGTAATCAAGTTTGGGAAGTAACGCGACGCAGCATCGATCAACGTCCGTGGTACGTCAAACGTCAAACGTCAAACGTCAAACGTCCACTGGCACTTTCGTTTTGACTACAATTGCTTCCCGAATGCCTGGATTCCGTTGTCTTCGCCCCACGATTCACGCGAACACGATTTATCGGCTGGTATGAAATCACGCCAAAATTCCATTTCGTCGGTCAAAGGGTTAAGCAGCTCAATTGTGGCAGTGATTCCCAACCGTTTCCACATCACGACCCTCTATACGTTTACAGTCGGTCATCTATGTGTATTAAAAAAAGTATAAATTAAATGACAGTTCTGATGTTTCTATAGAAATTTTTCATCATAATTATGTACATATTTAAAGTTTATTCATTCAACTATCATCATGTATACGAAGTGTAAATGGGTCTAATTTGCAATAAACAGGTCGATCTTTAAGCCTTGGAACTATTCTCATTCACCGCGTTCGAATCTAATGAAAAAATATTTTTGAGGCAATTTCTTGAGAAATGCTCAACTCCATCTAATCCTACGAACAGTTTTCAACAAAGTCTCTTATAATTCCCCAGCAAACTCGTGCAGCAGCCTAATACCCTCACGATGGAATTCGCGGGGCGTCGTGACTAGGAAGAGAAGCAGAGGCCTCGTCTAGGTACCGCAGAAGGATCAAGGGGGGCAAGAGGAGACTTTCTCCGCGGCCGTATTGTCGGTTGCGATCGAACAGTCGCTCGATAGGAGCAATTAGATGCTCTGGTCTAGTTGCGGTTGCGCAATCCGGCCATCCCGGTTGTTGCGCGACCTTTGGGACTATCCTGTCTGTGCAATGATGCGACCCCTAGCCGCGGAGGATGCGGGATGATCGCGCCGACGATTAGATATTTCGTCTCCTCTGCCATTCCTCGTTCGACATTCCCGTTGTGGAGATTCTTGCGAAGATACAACGCTGGGTACACTCGGTTCAAAGGATTCAGATGCAACCACAGAGTTTTCCGATTGGCGAAGCGCGTTCAACCGAATGATAAGATGAGGCTGGGATCTCGAACATTTGTAGTTATATGGTCAGTGAAGCTGGATGAAAATGTAGTGAAATTTGGACTAGAAGGGATATGAAGCGACTGTTTTGTCTGGTATCTTTGAAAAATTAATTATTAAAAATTTTCGGAAGTTTGGAATGATTAAAAATCACCATTTGCTTTCTGATCTAATTTCAATGCCTTTGGTTAAATAACACGAGTTATTATTTTGCAAAGAAACATTGTTAACGCATAAGCTGACAGATCTCGAAAATTAATTTCCCTTTTCATTGTTTGCAACATTGAGGCATAAATTATAAAACGGCGCCATAGTGACAAAGCAATCGCTACCAAACAGGAGAAGTGAATAATTAACAGGAGATAATTGTCTCGTAATATAACATGTCATGCAGGTTGGAAATTGTTGAATTTCTATGGGTACGTTTACCAGCACCTTTTTGCATACTTTAATAAGCATCGGAGATATTATTGAACGTGGGCCTCGATGAGGAAATGTGACGAGACATGCGTCGAAATTGTCGGGAGACACTTCGAGCACCTGTTATGGTTGTTGCGGCATCGCTGACGTGATCTTTTCCGTGTTGGATCGCTATTCGTGCGATAAATTACTATCCCTGGGAGCTAATTAAATGAAAATGTGTATGAATGGGGCTTGCACGTGTTGCAATCACAATTAATATACCCAAATGACGATGAATGAATGTCTGTACTTTAATGGTAAGCCACGATAATTCCAATTCTTTCAAATTTGAGATGGATACTTTGACGGTTTATATACAGGACCTTCTTTCTTAACAAAATATTCTTCTAGGGCTACACAAAATCATTATTACAAAAACTCTCTATTTCTGAGTAGAGAAGTATTAAATTCACTGTTAAATTCACTATTATTTGATGACAGAAATTCCAAAGTACTTTGATACAGAAATAGTTGTCATTGCTACTTTTTCATCTTTGTTTCATCTTAATAGCTTGATTCAACTCGCGAGGCACTCGATGGCATCGCTAGCAGTCGCGTAGCAACATGCTTTTTAAAAAGGCAAGAGACAAGAGGAGATAGCCTTCTTCATCTGTTTCGAAACCATCCGTGGCGCTGAATATGAACATTAGGAATGGTTTTCCAACACTTGCATCTAGTTCTACACCACAGCGGCTACTCTTAGCAGTATAAACAAAGCGGAAACCTTGTAGAAAGATAGAATAAGAAACACGAAGATTCCTTTAAACGAGGAAGATCGTTGAAGTCACCCAACAGCTAGAAACTCGGCCGCGTCAATAGAGTTCTTATGTCACCGAATCCAGAAATAAATTTTTGCAAGTGGATTCTTCCATTTGAAATTACACTCAGCACTTTCTGTGACCCTTTTGCACACACATTACATAATAAAGCAATTTCTAGAATTTCAAGAAAAGCAAACATTATTAAAAGAGATGTTACGGCCACAATTGGCTTTTTCTAACAGGGAGAGCTTGCGAATGAATCACTTGGATATATATCAAAAAATAAATTGTCTAAACTAAAAATGTTTGTAAACCATTTTTAAAGCGTACTTTACAGTAAAAATTTAAAAAGATTTCCATTCGGTTATTTACTTAAAAAAAAAAAAAAAATAATTCTTTTCCGAGTACACGATCCTCTTCAACCAATTTGAAAATCCCATAAAGCAGCATTAATCGCATGGCAGACAATGCAAACGGTCGCAGAACGCGTCGAGCCCTCTTCCACGAATCATTTTTAAATGTCACCGGTTAATCGAAGACAGCCGTTGACGAGGAGGCGAAACTTCTTCGATAACATCGAGCTATAAATCTCGAAGGTCTGCGAGTCCGGTGCCGGCGCATAAAGGCGATGCTGATGGGGTTTACGAGACTCTCGGCGAAACGATTACACTTGAATGAAAAAGATGAGGGAAAAAAAGGATGAGAAAGAAGACCTCGTCGGCGACTCTAGGCTTTTTTGCGTTCGAGAGGCTCGCATCTTTGAGATATCGTGTCGCAACACCGGCGCTCGTCAATTGTGTTGCGTAATCGAGAGGTGCGTACAACAAAGCAAACAACGTCGAAGCACCGAAGACGCAACGCCGACGCCTTCGCGCGAAACGATAGCGGATAACGTTCCAGTTGAAATTTCAAGCTAATTTTATGCGAGCGCCGGAATCTCTGGATTTATGCGCTTAAGCGTTGAAAACGTTGTTAAGCTGATAGCGCATACGTGTTCCTTGGGGATAAGAGCGTATCAAGTAAAACAGGTTTTCGTGTAGGGCAGTCGCGCGAAGGGAGCATAGATCTGAGAATACTTTATAGGTATAATTTATTTTTATTTTTAATATAATATTTCTACATTCGCATCGTACACGGTATCTTTTGTTCCAGTGTTAATTAACGCATTCGTTAAAATGTCACCGTGACTGCGATCATAATTGCACTAATTTTATGCCCCTTTCTCTTTCAAAAAGCACCAAACAAATTGTTAGTTCAGCGAAAATTCAGATTTTCAAACGTAAATTTCTGCATTCTTGGAGCAATCGGTATAAATTGGCATGCTGTCCAAGTAAAATAAACGTAAAGTAATAGTCAATGTAAGAAGACGTCTGTTTTATCAGTAATATGTTACGAGACTGTCAGTAAAATAAATTGAAATAATTAAGAAATTATTGTATCTCGAAATGTTATGGAAACGATTATGTACACAGACGTATAAACGTAATTTAATATCATGTAGAATAAATACTTGCAATCTTATGCTTAAATAGTGTATAAATTCTAACGGAGTTCTGCAGGCACGATGCAGCCCGAGGTACTCGAAGACGGTAACGATCGTACCAAGTCATTGCAAATAAATCGTAAACCGGTAAAGAAGATGCTGGCAGAAGACGACCTTGACATATAAGCATATACCGCAAGCATTCTAAGAGAGCGCCTAACCGGAGGCTAGAAAACGACACGCACGCCAAATTCAATTTTACTTTCATCTCACAGTGCAGGTGCCGAGTGTACTCTGCCTCGTCGACGATTCGTTGAAAAGTTCCATTGGGAATCCTGGCCAATCGAGTTCTGTTTATCCAGCCACTACCTGATATACAAGAAAGCGGTGGAAATTATTGCCATGGCAATCCCGTGCTTCGAAAGCATGGGGTTTCTTAAGATTTAGTGGAGGAGTCGATGATGAATCAGACGTCTGACTGAAAACAACAAAGTTCATAGGCTTTCAAACAACGAGTTCCAAGTATCTTCTTTAAATTATAATTCAGAGTGTATTAAGAAATAACATACAGAAATTTATATTTCATTGAAAAAAAAAACTTTTTCTAGATGTGAAGAAAATTATGATCATCATGAGATGGCTGTTTACGTATTCTAATCAAACTGGTAGCAAATATAAATAAATTTCAAAGCTGCCATTCATATATTCAATTTTAATAACGCTTTCAAACGTATTTTTTTTGTTTTTGTTTTTTGTTTCTTTTTAGATAGTAGAAAAGAAAAAGTTGATTTTTATCATATCATCCACATAACCTTTCAGTTATGCATGAACGAGATACCACAATTCTGGATAAAAATTCTTCCAACCTCTAACGATCCAAATAATTAAAATTCGCCACCCCTTGCAGCAGAGGGTCTGCTTTTTGCATCCCTGTTCCAATTATTGTAGTGAGGCTGTGTTATAGAAACTCTGGCTATGAAATGTATCGTGCAAATTTGAAATATCAGTTGGCAAGGTAATGCATTCCCAACGGCCTTATAAGAACGATATATGCGACACGAGTTGTTGCAATAGGAGTTCTATACCCACAGAAAGGTTACACGCGGATGCACTTACGAGTCCTGCGCATTCTGAAGAATGCGTACTTGAATGAAAGCCCCACGAATGCGGCGAGAAGAGTCGGATGAGAAGACGAGTGGGAGACAGAAAGTCTGGTATAATGAATAACGTGTGCGCGAAGGAGAAGAATATAGCGAAATAGTGTGCATGGGAGAGAGAAGGTTGGAGTACAAGTGGATAAATGGGTGAGACAGAGCCAAGAAAGAACACAAAAAGAACAGAATAATGTGGTGGTAGGTTGATAAAAAAAAATATGTCAGTTTTCTGTTCACGTACCCTAATTTTCATACGCATGGTGCGTCAGGAGGTTATTATGTATCACACTCCATTACTGTTACACTCTTAGGTACATAAAAAGATTTCTTAATTTATATTTTTATTTGGTTTACTTACCTGTTTATCTTTGGCACACTTGTACGAGATGGCACAGGAAATTTCATCAAATATAGCCAGCACGAGTCGATAGAAGACGACCCATACAGCTGCTCGACGACGCCCAACAGCGCACTTCGCACATTACCGTCCAGAAACTTCTCGGCTGGATTATGAAACTCTAGCTCATCCTTCACACTCCCCAGGCTCGTTGCCAGCAAATTTTCATCTTCTTAAACACCTGGAAAATCTTCACCGGAAAATACCGTTCCTCATCAAAGCGTCGTTAAGAACATATTTATTTTATAATCATGCAGCTGTGATTTAAACGAACCATTCATACAGATGGATTTTAGTTTGACTAAAAATCCTCAGTTTTTACCTAGTCATGATTATTTAACGTCCTAAGCACCACAACTGTGCTTAGAACAGCTGTGTTCCTACTTTATTTAAATTGTTGTTACGTTTCAAGAACTCGAAATCAATTGAAACCTTAATTGCGTTTAATAACCCTCCGGCATTTGTCCTAAAAGGATACCACCTGCCTAAGGCCAGGAATTGAGAGAGTGAGAATACTTCTGCACCTCACTGTACCTAATAGAAAGGAAGAGTGGAATAACGATCGAGGAGGTAAGAAGATGAATCAGAATACGAGAGAACAAACGAGGGAAAGCGAAAGAGAGGGAGACAGAGAGAAAGTGGGAGCTTGTCAACACAAGGAAACGCGTCAATGGAAACCGTAAACACTAGACAATGATCGACCGTATCGATGATTCAGGCGATTTCTTCTTTTCGGGGAATCGATCAGTTTCGTTCCGCGAAGATATTATAATGTGAGGAGCGCTCGTGGCTCGACGCCGAGGAGTTCGCCGCTGACATTTTAAACGATTAGCTCGAAGAATTTTTGGAGTCGTGGTACAAAAGGCGAGAAATGAGTTTCGGAGTATCTGACGACTAGTTTGATATTTGAATGTGTTTGGATTTTAATTAAAATACGTGGATTCTCGAGGTCTTTCTAAGCAACAGATTGTGTATAGTCTTTTAATATTGTCTGTAGTTTAAGGATTTAATTGGCAACAATTTTCAAAAATCAGTCTACAACTAAGCTAATAATACATTTAATTGAAGGAAACGTGCAGTAAGTATATATTCGGAATAGGAATAGTTCTTGTTCTGCAGGATAGTTCTGATTCTACGTGTTTGGGATTGAAATGAAGCAATAGATCCACCTGAGGAATTTAGATTATTGCGATAACTGGTTTCCAATTCTGGCGAGGCTTCCTAGGAGAATCTAGTTAAATCAATAAAATGTAAAATTAATAAAGATCGATGATAATTATCCAATATTTTTGGTGTTATCACTTTTGGTGACAGAAAATAATGAAACCCGTCTGTTAAGCGGCCACGGTGATGCAAGTATATTTGATCACTCTATACGTGTTACCTGTCCCCGCGAAAGACAAGATAATGCTAGAACTGTTGCATCAGTGGAACGTCATGCGTTTATGCGGTGCATGTCCGTATAACCTTTCGGTGTATCCTCAACTCTTAAATTTTCAATCCGCATTTAGGAAATATTTGCGTAATTTCTACGCACGTAAAAAAACGCGAAATTCCGATGAACGATAGAAAGCGATGATAAATAAAGAAGAATATGAAAACGGTACAAACGAGTGTCGTTTCAACGATCGTCTCGCAATTTCGTTTTGGGGAACTTTCATTTGTTTATTCATGTAGAAATAGAAAGGAGTACGAACAGCTAATATTGCATCATACATGTTCGTTTCATTTACGTAGCTGTATTTATTCGTTATATGTGTTCTCCTGTATACTCCTAAATATAAATAAAACTATCGTATAAACTAATCGTATTATCACACTGATTTATATTCCCTTTGGAAACACTGCAAAAAATGTCCGAATATAAAAACAAATCGCGTGGCGCGTCGAAATCTAAACAAAAAACTTTTGGAGTATTATTCGCTGTGTGTCAGGAGTATTATTCTCGGTTCCCGACGACTGGGTTTGTTTCAAAACGAATTTCGACAAGGGTAACCGTGCCGTTGCGGAATAACGAGAGACTGTCGATCATGTTTAATCACCAATTTAAAAAAAGAACGGCCCGGGCTTCGTTATCGCGGGGGCTGAAATTCCCGTGGATTTCTTCGCATCGATGGAGTTGTGCTTCGTTCCACCGACTCATGGTTGCGTATGCTGACATTCAACGCGGTATAATTTACAAACCGTGAATTCAGTTCCCCCGAAGTCCGGGTATTAATCTCACACAGGAGACGCTATTCCGCGAGGGAGTCGTTGAGGCTCGATGCAGCGAATACGAGATCGCTCGCGGCAACGGTTCTTAAACTTGGAGAATAATAGCAGGGGAAATTTTTACCACCTTTTTGTCTGAACCGTGGCTCGCATCAATCGCCACCGATGGACTCCGAATATACAAGTTTAACGGAAATCACTTTAAGAATGGATCTCAGGAGGAATATTCATTTTATCGATAAATGATTTTTGATAGAATTTTGGTTCAATGTATGTTGTTATATATTTATTATTTACTAACCATCAAGGATGTTCCCAGTAACGTTCGAAAGAATTTTGAATGAAATTAAAATTAAAATTAACGACGACTAAAAAATATTGCTGGTTTATTTACTCTACTTATTGCACTCAAGTTATTTATCAATATCAAGCCACCCACACGGTTCTTTAACACGAGTTCAAACGGTTACAGATTTATTTAATTGGCTCGTGTCTTCACTGATGGAACAACCAGTTAGAAAGTTCCTCAGGTTCGCGTGATTTATTCGCGAAAAGTTTCGGTTAACTCGAAGCGAATTAACAAGGTACAACGATGGTGATGGAGAATCGGTTCGATTCAACCCTTCGCTCCGAGCATGCTCAATGGACGTTCCCAAATGATGTTACCTAGTTAGTTGCTTTCACGGGTGATATTTATTTGGACGTCTTTTGTATGCACTGGTCGTATTACGTAATACAGCTAATTAAACGTTCAAATATATCAGACAGACTTTCCCTTATATTTGCCATACCGCAATCTGGCATATGGTGAACCGATGACTATTTGCAGAAGGCATTTATTCCGTATTTTGACGTGTCGATTAGTCACTGGAGACCTAAAAGACACATTCATCGATCTTTATCACATTTAGTTTTCTATTGTTTTCGATTTTGTAATAAATTATTCTTAAAGATTCAAAATATTTTTGTCACTTTGAAGTAAGTAATGTTGAAAAAATGTATCCGAGTAGTAGTAAGGCAACGAAATATCATACTTGTTCATAGATATCGATGACGTGCCACAGTGAATCACGCACCGTCGCAACTGCTGTTTCTAACAAGGAACTTGACATTCCTGAGGAAACGAGAATTTATTATCGTTTCAGGAATTCCTTGCCTTTTCCGTAGAAGAAGCGGAGTAACCTCTCACGGAATATAATTAATCGCCCTTTCGTCAATTTAACGAATAATTTATTAGTCGGTTCGATTACAGTAATTTTATATTGGAGTGGATCGAAGCTATCCCCTTTGAAGTAGAATGATCGATGCGATCCAGCGAGAGCACAATTCGTTAGATTTTAAAAAGTTCAGTTTTTTTTTTTTGTATTTATACAAGAGACTTTCCTTATTTTTATACTCCTCGTAGAGAATAATTCGTAACACGAGGATATATTGAACAGCTACATCATATTTCACATTTTATTTTACAACTGGTTTAGTAATTAACTACAGTTTTGAAGTATACCCATAGATTTTCTTCTTTGCATATTTTTTTGCAATCATGACAAAAATTAATCATAAATTATTAGTAAATAAATACAAAGAAATATTCAACAGCTACACTATACCACACATTTTATTTTACAACTACTTTATTAACCAACAACAGTTTATGAATGTCACGTCAATCAAGATTCACTCACACAAAACGACGATTAAATTGCAATAAGTTTGTCATATAAAAACCAGTCGCTAGGACAAAATCATAATTAATATACAATCATAATTAATATACAATCATTAATGCCAATCGATAAACAATCCTCGACATTCCAATCAACTTTGATTCCTGATTAGATGGATGCACAGCTATACTTAATCCAAGGTAATACCGATGCGTCGAGGATGTCTAAAATAGAATAGAAAGATGCGTAGAAAATGTTGCCAAGTGCCTTCACTTTGCTTAGATGAAAGTAAAAAATATTATACGTTAATAATAATAATAATAATAATAATAATAATATAAAAAAACAAATCTACGAGACGCATGTAGATAAAAAAACACAAGAAAGTATCGCGTTTGATTGTTGGAATTGACGTTTGAACGTTCTAAGAAAAAGAGTAGATATTACCACGTACTCTGTAATTACTATCAGCATCGTAGAATTCTACCGTAATTATCGGCCATTATGCATGATCATAGCTTCTTATGTTTAAAAAGAAAATTAGCGCGCAAAGTGAACTGTTAGAACTTTGACAGGGCATTGTGATCATCGCATAATTGAGCGTTGGTAATAAGAGGTTGCTTCCAAGTCGGTAATTGAAACCGTCTAGCTGAGACGCGTCATGCTCGCCAACTATTCATGATATTTAAAATCCAACGATGGCTATCGGTATCGTTGTCTCGATATCTCGGTAATCGGATCCGGGTACAAGAAAAATTTAGACGGGTCGTTAATTCGTGACGGATCGTCTAGTCGACGGTTCATTAATATTAGAAGTTAAACGATGGGAATTATTATTTATGAAGAGAAACAGGGTGAACAGTTAACGATGGCATTCTGTAGTTATGGGATTAAATTATTGCGTTCAGCAAGGATCTTGTTACCGATGAATGTTTCAAGGTACTCGATGAGCACTTGTCAGAGGATTTGATTATTTAAACGATAACGAGATACGCTTGCGGTTGATAAGATAAATGTACGAGAAGTAGTAAATAAGGAGTGATTTAGTATTTACTTTTAATATTTGTCTGTAAGGGTTTTCAATTTTATCAATTTTTTTTATTAGTGAGGAGCTGAAATGTCAGATTGAAATGTAAATGTTAAATTCTGCTTGGATTTTCTTCAATTTTAATTTTCTTTAAATTCCGAGCTTCAAAATATAAAGAACTGAAGACAATACACGAACAGAAGAGCATGAAGAGCAATCACGAGGATAAGTGCGTTTGTTGCATAAATAGCTTCGTCAGAGATGTGTATCTTATCTGGGAGCGAAGCGTGATAATCTTTGCCACAATCCATGTAACACGGTAAGACGTCCACTATCCAATATGTTAATCATAGGAAAGGCTAGTATCGGAAAAACTGGCTACTGTAAATCCTTCTGGCCAAGTGTATTCTATACCTAATTCGATTATGCAATATGTTTCTTGGTTTTATAAACTTCATGAACAATCATAAACATTCGCGTCTAGTTATCATACAAGAAATGTATAATTTCCATTAACTCATCTCAACGAACCCTTTCTATCTACCTAACTTTCCCAACACTTTCCCAACATACCCCGAATACCCAATATACTGCATTTCAAAGACCTGCGGTTTCCACGACCACCACCCACCCTGGCCCACGATAGAAGACCAAATACAACCCAGCCACACCCTGAAACCTTCCTTTTACCCACCGATCCCCCAAACACCCCCCGAAAGGGTTCCCGAACGCGGCGTCGCGTTGTTAAAGAAATTATGACAATTGAGTAAGCATCCTTTAACGGGGACCCGATGACATTTAGCGCAATGTGACATGCTGATCCCCGGGATGGTAGTCTCTCTCCGGGTGATGCACAGTGTGTTGTTGTCCCCGTACGTTTCCCACACATGCACGCCGCGGCGTGCATTGCCGCGCGTTAAACGAGGATCCGTGTAACCCCCCTTAAGGTCCCTCAGCCTCTGTGTCGCTATCGTCGTCTCTATCGTGCCAACTGGTTGTTTCTCTCCCGCTCTGTCCCCGTGTCCCATGTGCGTCCTCTTAGGAACACAGTGGCTATCGTTACTTAGGCAAACGATCGTATTGGTGATGCCTCCAGGGGTATATATACGACGAGCGCTGCGGGGCTTGATAAACACTTGCCCATCAGCGATTACTGCTGCAGCATGTACACGTCACTGGTAAGCGCAATTAAAACTGCAACGAAACGAACGGCAGAAAAATAACGTCGTTTCGCGAGAAAAAGGGACGCGGGGGGCGACGCCCCGTCGTCCGATCGGGATTCAGTGAGCCGTAATCGGTTTTAGGAGATATCGTCGAGTGCCGCGATCGCGTTACCGTCGCGATGCTATTGTGCGTGACCGGGGATACTATGTGAAACGTCGTCCGGTGATGTCGTCTTTGGTATAATTCGTTTTCTGGCTCGGTCGGTTCGCCAGGTTTCGGGGTGAGGTATCGCACACGTGGAGAGGTGAGTAGGGTGATCAGGGAGAAGTGACTCTCCCGAGTAAAGTTGAATTAATTTTTCACTTGCACGAAACTCGATTTGTCTGGAGAGTTGTTTTAAATTGAACGCCGAGTATAGTTCACAAGATGCAGAAAAGAAGTGTCGATCAAATGGAGTCAGTTATGTCTGATCTAGTAACAGTCACGCTACCACTGGCGATGGCTGACTCGAAACGGTATCACTACTGCGGCGAGTTTGCCGTCGTTTTCGACGACGGAATCGCGCTTACTTGTTATTATTAATCGTAAATCAATTGACAAATGGGGATACAAGGGATAAACAGATAAAGTAAAAGGTAAACAATTGTGAATCTAACACTTGGTCGATAAAAGTTGGTAAAGTTCCAAGTCATAGAGTTTGCTGTTCTTTTTTATATCCGTTTGGAATATTACATAGTTCGGTTTCAATAAAATAGTTTAAAGGATGCCGAAGAATATGTATTCTTCCTAATTAGACAAGTGTAAATCAAATTCTCTGTGCAATTTCAGTAGTCGTAACTACCGAAGACAATCATAGAAAGACTATAATAAACGGTTTTTTTACAAAGTATATGTTATGTTACTCTCTGAGACTACTTTATTGCAACCAAATGAAACGAATTATAAAACACAATTAAAGTCCACGTTGAATTAATGAACCTAATGAATAAATAGCGGCAGGGTGTTTCTATTCGTCACTTGTAATACGAATAAATTTCTGCCCGTCACTGGCGACGAGCAATGTTGTAATCGATTTCTCGGACTGATACGTGGTCCGATACCTCGTTTAAATCGCACCCCGCAGACGTGTAATTACCAGGGAATCGGTCTTCCGCGACGTAATTTATGGCCGTTTAAGCACAATAACGTGAACAACGAACGGGGGAAGCACTCGCGCACGCTCGTGGAAACGTTGGATATCTGTTTATTTACAGCGACGTCTTTACGCGGAAATTGCGCGCGGTGTTTGTTCTGCTGCCGCGTAGATATAATCGGACGTCGCGATTAGAACTTCGCTAAACTTTGAAGCTCGTTTAAATTCAACCTATTACTGTCGATTAGATACACGCAAACAATTGATCGTTCGACTCACTGAATTGATTGTCCGAAATGGTGTTTGGAAACTTTATTTTGGATCTTAATAGTCCTAATTGATACAGAACTGTGGGAATTTTATTTTAGTATTATTTGTTATACACTTTCAATCTATAGAATCTAAACACCCCCAAAAAATGTTGATCAGACCCCTCTTCATCTCCTCTGCGTCCCCCAGGTAGCCGTGATCGCGCTGGCAAGCTGCGTGGTAGCTGCCCCCGCTCCCGCAGACGATGTGATACCTATCGTCAGCCAAAGCCAGGAGGGTCCAAACCCGGATGGCTCGTACAAGTGGAACTACGAGGCCGGAAACGGGATCAAAGCCCAGGAGGAAGGTCAAGTTGAGAACGCAGGCTCGGAGAACGAGGCGATGAACGCCCAGGGTAGCTTCAGTTACCCGAGCGACGACGGTCAACAAATCTCGCTGACGTACGTGGCGAACGCCGACGGATTCCAGCCGCAGGGCGCTCACCTGCCCACCACGCCTGAGATCCCTCCCCTCATCCAGAAGGCGTTGGAATGGATAGCGGCGCATCCGTCCAAGGAGGACCAGAATCAGGTGTAAACAATAGGACGTCCGTCGTCAGTGATCTCACCAGAGCGTCCCTCTTTAACTCCTGTCCACGAGATACAATGAGTCGCTCGCCGTCGTCGCCTCTCCAGTTCTAACGAAACGCGTATCACTCTGGTTCAATCTGTTGTAAATATTTATTGTATACTTATATATGTACACATATATATATGTATCGTATCGTGTTGTACCGTATTATATAATGTATTGTGTATTATGTATCGTCGCGCGTGCAAACGCGAGCATGTACCACGAGCAACGACGTTGTAAATAATCGTTGTTGTGTGTATGTGTCACGGTGCATACGGATTAAACGTTGCAATTCAAGAGAGAGATCGAGTTCATTTTTACCTCCCTGATCATTTAGAATAGACACGCGTGGTTGGCGTATGAGCGATGAAACGGGGTGCAGCTTTCTCTAATCCGAGAACGAGCAGGTTGAGGCCATGCGACGTCGCGGGAAGAGATGACTGGTGAGGATCGATTGCGGTGGTAAGGGCGTAGTGGGGATCCAGTTCGTGCGACAGATTCGGTTGCTGTATACCTGGGGGACTCCGTGATCCGTGGACACGTATCTGTACTTCGGAGGCGAACTGTGTTTACCCCTTCGTTAGCTATCTGGGTTTTTTCGAGGCAAGTCAAATTTGGCAGTGGAATTGGAATGTTAACAGCCGTTAATGCATTTCCAGCTGGTTGGGAAGGTTTCAGGAAGGGTATTTGTAAATATGGTGGTTAGTAACATTGAATATATTTACAATCATCAAGAGATAATAGAAACAGATACAGACTAATTTATGAAGGAATGAATGTCTCGAAAGAAAAATAATTTAATGATTAAACTTTCCATTGGAAAACTATTTATACTAAGTACCTCGAGTTTTGAAAATGCTGTCAGCTGGTTTTACCTCGTGTCACGTTTTAGTAATTCTCTTGCTTGTACTTTCTTTTCGTCAGTGGCATCTACAGACCAATCTCCCTGTATAAACACTTCAACTCCCTTTCCATTAGGCAAACTGTTTCGTGATCAAAAATCAACAAGTGACAGACTCTTTCGCATATCTGGCCACTTCTGCGGAAGTACTTTTACTTCTGACAACTCTGTTTAATACCATTGACTTTAAATTCATTTCGTAAATCTACCAGGTATATACCTCTCACTTATTATTAAGTTTTAAACGAACTTGTCCATGGATCAATTGTAACTTTACTCGTGACTATAAATCCAGCTGCTATTTATACCTAGGTCTCGAATTCATTCAGTTTTGGATGAATTGCGTGCCGAATCAAATATCGATGCAATTCGAGTTAAATCTAGTTTACAGCGAATGTTTGGAAAGGCTAAGTTAAGCCATCTTGTACAGATACCTTGTCTGTTACAGATGCAGCGACCAAACAGAATTGCACTACTAATGCGCAACGAACTTTAGATTACCTCGTCAGAACTAACAATTTGTTATCATTGTTCAGGATTCCTCTTTCATTATACAAATTGACAAACTTCTTTGGCGTATGCGGACTGTGGGTACTTTTGCAAATGTATCTGCATTCTACATTATAAACACATTATATTATTATTATTATTTCATGTATATTGCAGTTGCACAGTCTGCATATTTATCTTGCATAAATAAATACATACAGTGAGGCATAAGTTTTAATCTGAGAAGTGCAAATGAATACATCGACGTCCCGAAGTAGTGTAATTTCGCGAAGCAACATGATCTGTTCACGGTTCTGTGAAGTTCTTGCTGATTTACGATAGAAAGTTTCCAGCTCGAGGCAGTGCAGTGTTTTAAGCACGTGCTCGCTTGGAGTGCTACCGTGCCATTGTTAATCAATCACGAACTGTGGTCACGCAGGTATCTCCCCCGTGTAATGTATTCGAAAACGAGTGCCACGTGGACAGCGTGAACTTGTTTAACTTCAACCTGTTCTTGCCGAAAACGACGGAACGTCTCCCGTATGAATCAATTAAGAATTTTAACGTGTTTCTTGGGAACCATAAGAGATACCGGAAACGGACCTTTCGATAGGTCATGTTTGAAACAGCATTTCAGTTGTTTATTTCCAGAAGCGTTATTCGAAAGTAACCGAAACATCGATTTGCTCCATATAGCAAATAGTTCATACAACAAAAGCTTTTTATTCCACTTACTATTAACTATTCACATTAGGTTCGTTTTTGCCGATCAGTCGCGTTAGATCATAGTCAAGCAGTCATTCCGTCGCGTGACTTTCTCAAGGGGAGGTCCCCTGTCATTTTAACACGCTGGTACTCTTCCTGCGGGCATCTTGGAACCGAAACCGATTCAATCTCGAAGAACTTTCGTTGAACTTTCACAAGTGTCGCTGTCACACGTTGCTATTTCAGTACTCGTAATGTTCGCTATTTACAATGGGATTACATAACGTTTGGTCTTCCACGTCCTGTCGCGAGTGCAAGTCATCTATCTTCCGAGTCTTAACCGAAAAATTTACAGTGAAACTCCAATCGTAAATCATGCGTTTCCGATGAAGAAAAATTAGCGAGATGTTTATTTTCTTTTTCTATTTGGTAGCCATAGGTGCTTGCTGTCGCCTGTATTACAGGGAAGATACGTATTATTGCTCTCATTCATTCTTTCATTGGTCCGAGACCCACGCAGAAACGTAAATATGTCACCTTCGATCCATACCATAAACTACAACTTTCTCCTATCATCCTCCTTCCTTGCTCCCTAACTGTTCCATTCAGTTTTATTTCGTATTGCCTTTTCATTCTCCTCCATTTCATCTATGACTCTACTAGTCTGTCTTCGTTACATCTTTACTGTCTGGTTCGAATGTAGCATCGAATTTGTTTGTTTTTAACAAAATTTATTCCACTCTGCGACGCCCATAATTAGATTCGAGTGTCGGGATTATATTGACAGCATTTCAAGAAAGTGTTACAACCGGTATAACAGTTATGAAACACTTATTATGAACACGAGATGTACAAAGAACATAAAAATGTTCGAATATTACATTAAGGTATCGGGTGGCATAAATTTGTTAGTATTACAGCAAACATTACATAAGGAATTTATTAACCCAATGCCACAGTCTTAACCACAGGCACTGTGCAAGAGTTGCATGTATTACAAATTAATATCTTTGGTGTAACGAATGTAAAAATGTTATGGTAATCGTATGGATTGGTAAATTACTCATTCTTGTAATTTATTTTACTCTAATGTTTGCTGTATGGGTAGAAGCTGTTTAACTACAGGTGAATATCTTTTTAGAAATTCCGTGGGATACAATAAAGCCAAAATTGAGAATTATACTCTTACGTCTCTATTACACCAAAGAAACCGGAAAATTCTTCTCCAATTCACGACGCACTACGGTAATGTCATTTCCGCGTGGTAATACGCGGATCTGTCTATTTGCATTGCCAGCGTAAACAATTTAACAAAGTAACCCGTAAATACGCATAACAATGCACGCGTGCGAGAGCTGTTTGCATTGGCGGATAGTTTTCCGCGTCTACCAAGGAGAGTGCAGTCCAAACGAACGAGGACGTCGCCGTCGACAGTGACAACGCATCTGCTGCTACGAGCAACTTTCCTCCTCCGACACCTTGCGCAATAGTTCTCCTTCTTCTTTCCTTCAACGATAACCTTCGACCTCGTCTTCCGCACTATCGCGTCACACCTGTCGCACCCTATTTTCGCTATAAATAGGTTGCACACCAAATTCATGTTATTTCGGTGGAAATCACTTTTCACCGGTTTTGCATGTAATGCTTTATTTAACGCATCATTTCGTATATTTGGAATACTCTAACCTTTCTCAGCATACCAACCTAGTTTTATACCTAGTATTATAGGGAAGTATACGTACGGTGATGAGTTTACAGAGGAATGCTTTTAATCGAAAAGCTCTTTAATATAATCAAACGTTGCCAATCAGTGTGTATCGATTTATTACTCTTCATACATATCCACGTTTCAGTTTTCTCCCTGGTTACCTATCGACAAAAACGTTCAGCGACATTCACACGTGTCTCGTTATCTAACAGACGGAAGAAAATAAACCAAATATCGTCAACAGGTTACAACGACGCCACTGTCTCCGAATATTTACTTCTCACTTTATTTTTCAGACGTAGACGATACAGTATCCGCGTTACAGCGTGGAAACACACTGGAAAGCCATCCACGCGGATGAACGGCTCCGAAACGCTCTTGGAACATGAAGAGAATCCTGAAGAATGATCCACACCGATCGAGGAAGGCAACGAATTCCGCCCAGGTTCGTTCGCGAAACGTTGTTTTGACGAAACGGGATGCCGTGGAAAATTACAATCTATTCTTCTCCTCCTTGTAGGGATGAGCTGCTATCCAGTCGAGGGCTCGCTGGATGAGAACTGGCACCGGTTGCGGGGGCGGTGGCGTCGGCAGATGAGCGCCCTGGAAAGTGGCGCCATTTTCGTTGGCCACCCAACCAAGGTTCAATTTGGTCCCGTCTGGTGCGGTCCACGAGGCAGAGCCACGCACCTCTTCAGCCTCTGCGTCCTTCTGGCCCGCGTTCTTCAAAAATCCCTCCTCCTGGAAGCTGATGCCGTTTCCGCTTTCCCATTTCGTCGAGAAACTGCCGTCTGGGCTGATGTCTTGGCTCTGACTGACGATGGGTATCTCCCTGTCCGCGGCCAACACCACAACCATCAGGTTCAAGAGGAAAACCGTGCGGGCGTACATGACGTGGGCTGAAGGGACTTCCTGGAAAGAAGTTAACTTAAAAAGAAACGTAAAATAAAATTGATTAAGCTAGAAAAGAGCCTAGTCTTCCCCGTCGCTGGGGGTAATCGTGACCTGAATGCACTCGAATCGAAGACTGCGGTGCAAGAACCGGTCTCGAAAACAAATTTTGTCGATTCTATTAATGTCAGGAATGGCAACGACCAGTTTCTGCATCACAGTCTTCAACTGTGCAGGCCTGAATGAAAAGTAACGATCGATTCGGTTTTCATTCGAGTGAAAGGTCACGATAAATCGAAGAAATCCTCGTATGTCAACGTCCCAGGTCGATCGAGTTCGTTAGAGGATCCAGGATTTGTTAGACGCACCGCTACCGAACAGTTTTGTACCTCGTGATTTTCCAGTTATCGCGTGTGAAATCGTACTGACGGCCGCTAGTCTATCCCGTCCACCTTTTATAGTTTGAGGTAGTCTTCGCTATCATCGACATTTTGCGTCAAATGTCACTCGATGATACCGGTTCAGCCTTCGCACGGTCGGCAACACGTATCGTAGGAAACCTTTCCGGCTGGCTTATGGGACGAGCAACCTGTAATCAATCCGCGCCTTCAACCTCAATTAACTGGTATTGTAAATATGTGCCTGCTATAAATATACAAATTACACATCAGACATCAATTTTAACACTTTACTTCTGAGACGGTTCATTTGAGACGTTAACAGCGCGATCGTTTCACGTTGATGTTGCAGGGACGAACATAATTCTCTTTGTTACGAGATTTCGTGTTCGTAGACTGTCAATCTACGATGGCACGATGGTGATTAGTTGGCTTAAGTATATTAGGTTGCGCGGTATTTGTGGGTAATTGCGATTTAATAAGAATAAGGATTATTTTGAAGTAGCTAGGAAGTTCTTTCGTCTTTGTTAAGTTTATTGTTAAACTTATATACCGTAAATGAGTGGTTGTTAGCTACGATAGATAGACGGTAGTATTGTTTTCAGAAAAACTTGAATTTGGATATTTGAATAGTATGCGTTGAATTCGGTACGACTTGGCTAACCGTGTCTGTCTATTACTGGCTGCTTCTACTTGTGGCCGTTCTCGTCGATGATAACGATGGTACAGTGCTCACTGGTTCGATTGATACAAGTTTATTTAAAAAGTAGCGAGATTGGAGAAAAACCGACGATGTAATACCATCATTAATTTCTTCAGAAATTAATTAGTATTAGTGTTTATAAAGAAAAAATTCATACTGATTTTAACCTATAACAGGTATCAAGTTTGAAACGACGTATGGTCAGAAAATTTAATTGTAAATATTTCTTCATATAATTATTTGTTAGAATATTCAAGTTAACTTAAAACTTGCTTCAATATTGGATAGCATTTACTATCGTCAGCACAAGTAGAAGCGCCGAGTAATGGACAGACACGTTACTCAAAAATACATTGAAACAAACCCTACTACCAATTCACTATTATGTTCAAATTCGATACTGTTAAGGCATTTTAGAAAAATAGATTTTATTTGATCGACCCAAAAATTTAATAAACAATTGGCAAAAAAAATATTTTAAGACAGTATCTGCTACTCCAGTCTTATCGATAAGTCCACTGACGACTTCCACTAATAAATAATTTGGTATAATAATAATAATAATATACAGACAATAATGACGACGATTAAACGTTTGTTAGTTTTTCATAACGTACCCCGATAAACAAGGTAGCAACGATGCGCGTGAAAGCAATTAATCTCATGATCCGAGGTGACCTTTCGAGCGGTAAAGGCTCTGAGGCTGAAAAATGATCTGTCAGGGGAAACGCGGTTGCGATGTGCGGAATCGGTGGCTTTTGAATACTTTGTACAGCTATTATGCCGTTCAGTGCCACTATAGTTTTTTTCATTGCGACAAGTACCATCAATCACATTTTTCATTTAAATGCCCGACATGGTTTAGCGACTCTTCTAGAATGAAAAAAGAAACGGAAAAAACGTATGCTCCCTCAGGTGTTCATCTCTTTTGGGTCAATGTCGAACCGTGGTTCGTCGTGGTTACTAACAATTTTGGAATTGTCTCGGGACCTTTTCAATACCGTGTATGAGCTCGTCTGCTGTCTTCGGCTCTAAGTAAAGTTGCGAAACCTTTGGCAAATGGATGAGTATACGAGGAGGAATTTACAACGAGGCGAAATTGGGCATATTGTTCTGAAGTTGTCATTGAAGATGGAACTGTATTGCTTTTGTATTATTTGTTTTTCTCAATAAGAATCGTCAGTCGAATAAATATTGCTGTTTGGAAAATTTCTTGAACTCCAAGTTTGATTTAAAATAATATAAGAATACTCTGTATGTTGAACTTTCATATCGTTACCAAGCAGAAGGAAAAGGAGAACTCACTGAAGAGGTCGTCAGGCGCCCCCAGCGTCGTCGCGAAAGGAACGAAAGATAATTCTTCGGCAAAACGCTTTTATTTATATACAAAAATCACAAGTTAAAGTATACGTATAATATATACTATCGACGCTCGATACGCGTCCTCGCAGCCGCGATGGCGTCGCCATTTTTCCGCGTTTTACGGTGTGAAAGCAGCGTGCGCGCATCGGCACGATCCTGTCGTAAGCTGCTGAACAGTGCGCATTTTACTTTCTTCTATACAGGTAAAGATAAAGAATCTCGAAGTATATAGTTATTATATACTGGCTTGGCTCGCGCCATATGTTTTTTTTTTGTTTACTGTTATGTATAATCCTAGATTAATATACCACACTATATTTATTTTTATGGTTTGCATCGGAGGCTCGGGGTCGGTTCTGTCCATGGCTGGCTTGGCTCGAAATCAGGTCACGTTTGAGGTATAGTTGGGCTGATTAACCTGCGAAACGAGAATTGTATTGTTAATTGACTGCCACCACTTTCGCATTAATTATAACCGACACTCTAACTTACGTTAACGCGCAACATTTAGTTTAAAGAAATTACTATACTATGACACGATAGTTTGTTCTTTCCAATGCACTTATGTTCGATGGAAATTACTTTCTTTGCCAAGCATGATCATATATACTGAACGATAAAATGATATATTATTTAAAGATAGATATTTAACAAAAAAAAAAAAAAAAAAAAAAAAAAAAAAATATGAAGAACTGAAACACTTTTCCTCTTAATCCTTATCTATCGCGCAAAATTTGTTTATTTTGGAGGGTGACGCTTCCCAAGAAGTTTGGAAACCACTGCCCCAAACTGCACGTGGTTTCCGAATAGCTTCCTATCGCCGAGGTAGATCTTGTTCGCGACCCGGGAGACAATTAAACGAACAAGCGTTGAAGTTATAGTGTCATTGGGCGTGGAGGGTGGAACAAACCTCGGGCAGGTGGTCGTGGTTGACCGCCATCGTCCTCTTCGGGGTGAGCCGCGTTCCACTCGAGCGCCCTTTGGATCTCTGGTGGTATCGGTGGTGCCGTGGGGATGTGAGATCCTTGCACTTGGAAGCCATTCTCGTCAGCTATGTACGTGATGCTGACTTGTTGACCGTCCGGCGCCGTGTAAGAGTCCGAACCCTGCGAGACCACTGGTGTTTCGTTGTCTACTTGCTTAGGCTGGCCAGATTCTTGGTGGCTGATACCATTGCTCGTTTCGAAGCTAAACAACCGCAGAAGCGACTGAGTCGAGTAAAAGTAAACGTATTTGGGTAATAAATGATAAAGAGATGAAAGTGTGATCAATTCTTCCTAACTATTCTAAATACACCGAATATTCAATAAAGAGTTTGAAACGATTTTTAATGTCAGTCCTAAATAAAAATCGAGCTTCAATCGAACAAATTACAGCGACTGCAGCGTGCAAGAGTGGGAATTAATCGGAATGATCGATTCGACGAGGAGGAATGGCGGCGTAATTAAAAGAGAAACATTGAGCACGGTAGCAATCAATAGCGAATCGGTAACAACGCGCTTATGCAGAACGGAGATTGCAGTGGGCGACAGTTGTGAACCACGTGAATAAGCCGACGTCATCGAGCACGAATACCTGTTATCCTCCGTCCATTGTTTTCACCTTGTGTAATTACTTTGCTTACCGCGCCGCGACGAATAAAGCTATCTCGTTGCAACTTGTCGCGCAATAAAACGTCCGGCGGACCTTTTAACTTTGGACTTGACTTTCTCTGCGTTATTTATCAGATCGACCTCGATCTCGAAAAAGTAAAACGAGAATTGGGGAAACATTATGATTCGAGCCCTTTGTGGAATACTTGTGTTAATAAAGTATTAATAAAAGTATCGGAGACAAAGTATCCGTCACAATACTTTTAGAATTTAAATTAAACGAAGTTAGAATAAGAAGAATTAGAATATTTACATTTCCAGGATGTTAAATTGAATCGCAAAATTGAGAAGCTAGTGAAAAATGTACACACTAATTCTCTACGTTGCCTTCTAAACTAATCGAATCAACCGGTATTCTGAAAATAAATGACTTTTACAGATAAAGAACCGATGGAACACATTTTTCTGTTTCGAGTGTTGACCCACTTTCGCAGAACAATAAATTAAAACCGTATTGTACGATATTTCTTCGTCTGTCACGCGATAATTATCTTCGTGCTGCTCGTTCCCCGCTATAATCTGTTTCCGTCTACCTGGGATGATAGGAGTCGTCAGATTCTACGGAGAACGTTTCTCGGGATGACGGTTCTACTTACTTATTGACGTAATTGCCGTCGAAGTTGACTTCGAGCTGCTGAGATGTGATCACGGCATCTTTGTCAGCCCCACCACTGGGCCGTTGAGGTGCTCCTAACGTCCCCGTCGTACAGAGTACGACCGCCACAAACACCTGCAACAATTTTTCCTGTTTATATAAATTAAGTAAGAAATTTTCTTTAAAGCTAATTATTTCTTGTGATCGATAGAACATAATTTCATAAGGTCATATAATTCTATAAAACATTCATATCCACCTAAACAAGTAATAAAAATATTTGAAACAATGCGATCGAAACAAGTAAAATTTCATTCGATTCATTTAATGTTCCGCCTGTACGAATTTCTCTCAAGAACAATAATATTAAGATACATTTAAAACAATATTATTCCATGATATTAAATTAATTCCTGCACATATAACCAGGTTTATATTTTGCCATACAATGGCCACCTGTGCTGATTGGCCCAATTATTAATTCTCATCGAATTGTATTTATCAATTTTTCCACCACTCGGTTCCACCGATTTGCTACAAAATTTGTTGCGTTAACCCCGCGAAGGCAGCGCGTTTTGAATGTATAATTATCTTAACGACAGGCCGGTGTTTAACGAAAGGTCGAGTTGCGACGGCACGGCAAGGCCTTCTAAACCCATAGAGAAGCTCGGTAGGGTCGAGGCTGATTTCCCGCGGCAGGCGTCGAACAGCGGTCGCGTTAATT